CTCTGAAGAATGATGAAGGATAGCACAATGAATGCCATCCTGCTACACAGAAACTATTATTATTTATGATGTAGTGGGTGCCCAGCAAGTGTGCTTCTAGCACTTGTCCAAAGGCTAATTAGAAAAGGCTCTGAAAGGACGCTTTTGATGCTTTCGCTTCACTCTGCTGCGCGTTCCGCGCAGGCCTGGTGGTTTTTAAAATTCAATCACTGATTACGTTTTCAAAGGATGTACGAAGCTTTTACCCCACAATTCGAGGAAATCCGTAGCACTGACTCTGTGCTGAGGTCGCGGCTGTGGTGACCATCACCATGAACACTGCTTTTTGTTCCCAATACTCATATTTCACGTCTCTCTAGTGATTTTGATATCAGTATGTTTTAACCCACCCCAGGACGCAGAATTTTAGGCAACTTTACAGCGTAACTGTATAGTGCATATCCTGTGTATATCAGGTGACATAATGAACCGTTGCTGTTATATCATCATTGTTCAAGGCGCTATTTGGCTAAGCATGACCCTTGCGCCATTAAAACCCACGTATCATTATCGTGATAGCTTACTGTTACTTTGTGACATTTATTGACCGTTTAAAACTGCACGCATGCCGGATGCACGGGTAGACAAAAACACACCATTCACGAAGGCGCGCGTGCCCCTCACGCTCAGGGTTGCCAGGCCATTATGTTCATTCACGCCAACATTGATGCCAGTCGCCACCCCCCCCCCCTTAAACGAAAACTTCCCCTAAAGGTGTAATAGAGTTGGAGGTCAGCGAGAGTGCTGTGGTCGGTTTTACACAACTGGTGGGTGCTGCTGTGGTAGCCCTTCTGCTGGAGCTGAGCATTTGGAACCGGTCGTTCTCGCTGCCATTTGGGGAATAATTCCTCTGGTGGCTCTTCATTTCATTTCCCCTTCGAACTTGTGTGGTCTGCTATGTGCCGCCGACGTATCTGATCCGGATGCTGTCTCAAAAATCCATCTTCGAGTTTTCACTACCAAGATACTTGCACTTGAACCATCTCTCCAGGTAGCCACTGTTCAGCAGTACCAAAGTTTTTACAGAAGACTAGGTCACCTTTCTGGTAGCCACTTGTCTTTCCTGGCAATGGCACTTATATGGCACCGTGACCCATATAGTCAAATCCAGCTTGGTTCTTGGTGTGAACGAAAGCATTAGTTCTGCTGGTGAACGTATCCATTGCCCCAATGCAGTTATGCGGTGAATGCGCAACCACCTGGCCAATCTTGTGGTAAGGCTTCCTCCGGTCATACGTTTCAGACCTTCCTTCACGGAATGTACAGCTCTTTCGGCCAAACCATTAGATTGTGGTTTGTAAGGCTCCGTACAAATGTGCCGTATGCCATTTCGTCTTGCAAAGTCTTGGGATTTGACTCTGGTGAATGACGTTTCATTGTCCTTCACCAGGCATACAGGCAGGCCAAAACGCGCAAGCACAGTTCTTAAGTGTTCTACTGTCACGGCTGCCGTAGCTGATGGATTTGGAATGGCTTCCTCCCACCCCGAAAGGCTGTTCACAATCACCAGGATCATCTTGCCTTCTACTGGGCCTGCATAGTCAACGTAGGTGCGAGTCCATGGCTGTATTGTGGCCGGCCAGCTCAAAGGTTCCTTAGATACAGGCATTGCTGCTACTTGTTGACAAACACTGCATTCATGCAAGAGTTGTTCCATCTCCGGCCCTATGCCAGACCACTACATGAGTGTCCTTGCTAGAGCTTCTGTAGAGTTGATTCCGAGATATGTGTCATGTAGTCCTAGCAGAAACGCCCTCCTTGGTTGCTGAGGAATCACCACACGATCACCGCGGCAGATCAGTCCATTGTACATTGTGAGTTCCTGTCATAGCCGCCAGAAAGGTTGATCAGTCCATTGTACACTGTGAGTTCCTGTCATAGCCGCCAGAAAGGTTGCAACTTGCTATCTTTACCCTTCTTTGGCAATCCTTGTTCAATTCGGTGGCGAATTTCCATTAACACAGGGTCTTTATTGGTCAGCTCCTCAAGTTGCTGACATGACAGTGGGCTGCTGTCCAGAAGACTTGTTGGCAGTACTTGCTCACTGACAGTTTGCGTCTTCAGCTTCATCTGCAGAAAGCCTACTGAGGGCATCGGCATTCCCATCGTGCTGTCCCGGTATATATTTAATTGCGTACTGATGCGCTCCCAGGATAAGACCCTATATCTGGATTCTGGCTGCTGCCACTGCAGGTACTGCCTTAGTTTTTTTAAATAACCCCGTCAATGACCCATGCTTTGTTTTCAGAAAAAACGAGTGACCTAGCAGGTAGTCCATGAACTTCTTGACTGCATAAACAAGTGCCAAGGCTTCCCGCTCAAGTTGAGAGTTGTTTTTTTCTGCGTTCGTGAATGTTCTTGAGTGAAACGCAATGAACTGTTACAGACCATAAATGACGTGTGAAAGTACTGCTCCCACTCCATGAGGTGATGCGTCACATTCCAACATTACTTGCTTGTTTGGGTCAAAGTGGAGCAGTATGTTTGAACTTTGTAGTGCTTGCTTGATCGCCCTGAATGCCGCGATTTCTTCTTCGCCCCATTTCCATTTTAAGTCTTTCCTCAAAAGTTTATGGAGTTGAGAAAGCATAGTAGACATATTTGGTAAGAAACTCCAATAGTAAAATATGAAGCCCAAAAATGAATGAAGTTCCTGGACACTGCGTGGCTCAGGTGCCTGCATGATGACATCCATTTTCTTTTCACAGGGATGCAGACCTTCTGTCTCTTCGGTGCCCAAGGTAGTTCATTCCTTCTTCAACAAAAATGCATTTTTGTTCCCTGAGCTTCATACTGATTTCACGGAGAGCTAACGACACCTTCCATAGGCTTGTGCCAAGCTCATGCTGGCGTTCAGCCACCAAACGTCATCCAAGAACACCTGAGTGCCTGGAATGTCCTCGAGCACTGCCTCCATTTTTCTCTGAAAAATTGTAGGTGCTGATGCTATTCCATAAGGCAAACGGTCGCACGAAAACAGTCCCCTGTGAGTATTCAGCACTGCTGCCTTCTTCGACTCTTCATCTAACGGCACATAGCAGTATGCTTCCCGCAAGTCCCGTTTCGCGAACCAACAGCCATCTTTCAAGTTGGTGAACATGTCCTCCACTTAAGGCAGTAAGTACTGGTCTACTTCGCATGCTGTGTTCAAAGTGCCCTTGAAGTCACCACACAACCTCATACTGCCATCCCCTTTAAGCACTGGTACCACTGGGGTGGCCAATTCACAGTGGGTGACCGGTGATAGGATGCCTTCTTCACACAGCCGATCCAACTCCCTAGCCACTGTGTCACGTATGGCATAGGGTAGAAAGCGTGCTTTGAAGAATTTCGGATTCACCCCTTTCTTCAAGTTGTTGTGCGCTGGTGGCCTCTTCATCAACCCCGTACTAGGTTGGAACAAGTCACCGGATTTCCTCTTCAGCTTTGTCGGTGTTTCCTGAGCGGAACTGTCCAAACGAGACGCTGTTTGGTCCAAGAATGTTCAGTTTCTAAATGATGTCACGACCACAGAGCGATGGGCCGGAACACACTATCACATACAGCTCCCCTTCCGTTTCACTGGTTCGGTTGTTCACCACCAGATTCAAAACTCCCAGTAGAGGCAGTTTCCCAGTGTAACAATATAGAGTTTTGTCTGTTGGCTCCAACTTCGATCACAAATGTTCCTTACGCCTATAGATCTCTTTTACAATCACGCACACAGGGAATTTGGTGTCCACTTGCATTTGGAGCTTTACTCAACCCCAGTTGAGTGGTAGTGTACGTGGTGCTACGCACGTCCTTCGGGCTCTGAATGGTGGACAGATGGAAGCTTTCAGGATCTTCTTCAGCCACCATGTTCGAATGAAACTTGCCTCAATGGCCGGGAGTCTTGTTCCCGAAGCACTGACTTGCTGAAAGTCCACTGTTTCACTCAAAGCACGTTTTGTTCTTGTGCGGGAATTCCGGCAGTGAATCACTTTTCCCGCCACAACAAATGCACGAGAGCTTCCTGCGCGGTGACCGGCTCGCTTTTTGGTTACCGTGACGCTTCTTCTGCTCCAAAACATTCACACTGGTTGCCGCCGTAACGGCTGGCGTGTCGCTTGATCCCCGCAAGCGACTTGCATTCGAGACGGCGAACTGCGCGGCTAGGGTGGTGTCCAGCGCGTCTTTAAAGGTCAAACTACGAGGTTCAGCAAGCAGTACGCACTGTACCCCCTTTTCACGGAGTCCGATGACGAAACGGTCACGAGGATTCCTTTCCAGGGCTTCTCCGAACCCACAGTGGTCGGCAATCTTTCGCAGTTCCGCTAGGTAGTAGGCCACACTTTCTCACTGTTTTGCACCCGGGTCTGATCTCAAAGTTTTGTAGATCTCCGATGGCTCAGGACTGAGGTGTTGTGTCAGGACACGAACAATGGTATCGTACGTGTAGGCGCCGTGATGGCATCCGATGTTACGTGCCGTCGTCGCAGGTTAAATGAAAAAGCGAGACGTGCAGGAGGAAGCGAGCTGCCAAAGTAGAGCATCAGCCGTGGCGTCCAGCCAGCTAGGAACCTACGAACATTTTAGGCTCTTTGCGCCATGAGCTACCAGCGCTCGTCATCTTTCTCTCTAGCCGGTTGGCCGCCACTAGCGCTACGCTACAAGGGCTCCCCGCCTAGCGTGTGATTCGATAGAAAATTAATGAAAAAAGTGTAACAGTAACTTATAAACACTATATGCATGTGCGGCAGCTTAATTAGCGTCCACTTGGAAGTCTGAATGTCGCCAGGGTGGAAGACGTACGGAGGAGTCCGATGGTTCCGGCAGACGACACTTGAAAAACATAGCGGCCGAGGAAAAAGGCACCGCGGCGTGGTTGTAGACAGGCAAGTCTCACAATGGCTTGGTGGGTGCAATACTGAGCGCATCAGGTAACGCGAGCGGACGCGGCTGTGAAAGGTGCCCGTAGAAGTGATGGTTCTGCCGCTTACCTTGGCAGCGTGTCGGTGAAAGTCGTGTAGAAGTCGGTGGTGGTGCAATGACACCTTCTGCGTTCTATTGTGGCCGAATTGAGCGGTGTGCTCTGGTACAAGCGGGTCAGGCCGGTCGTACGCATGCGCGTCGGTCGTGGTTGCAACATCTCGCACGTTCAGCCGTGTCTGGTGAGAGGCATGAGCTTCTGTTGCGAGATACACCGAAGGCGATGATAGCGGTAGCTGGCAGGACGCGCAAAATGCTGATAGATAGATAGAAAGTTGCCTTCGGACATCGTGGACAGCAAAACTTCTGCGATCGGGGGGGGGGGGGGCGAATAGCGGGCGTGACGATGTCTGGGGTCGTGTCAGATGGATCGTGGAATGTGGAGGTTGGAGAAGACGTGTGGGTGGTGAGCGCGCCTTGACGACCATTGGCCGAGAAATTCGAAAAAACGCACCTATTGCGGACTGATCGTTGGCAGCGCGAACGTCTTGAACCTCGTCTTGAGGGCAGTCGGGTGCGAGATTCGCTGCGCTAGTGGCCGCGCGAGAGGCGGAAGAAGACGTTGCTGGAGAAGTTAAGTCGCGTTCAGTGGAGAGCTGAGGGCTGGAGGGTACCGCGCGCTGTGACACAGGGGAAATCTGAAAATTGCGGGCCGCAACAGGTGCCGGGACAGGCGTGAAGTCTTCAGGCAGGTCAGCCGGCCAGGCTGAGGTCGTCGAATCACCCGGTGCAGACAGTGCAGCCGACCAGGTCTCTGTAGTGAATTCAACTGTGCACGGGGCGGTGGCTAGTGTCGAATCTGCGATGGAGAGAAGTGGCAAGTGCTTTTGTTGGCATAACCGGCACATCGGAGGCAGGAATTGTGAACTCCGGTGTCGTGGATCTTTCGGTAAACGAGGGGATCGAAGTGGAAGTCTCCATCACCTGTGTAGCCGGTAGCCGGCAGGACTATGGTCTCGAGTGGCCATGAATCGGAAGGCGTCTTGGCAAGTGATCCAGGTGCCGCGGTGTCGCCCTTAGGGAAAGCATCACGTTTTATGCCGTAGAACTTGAGCACGGCTTCTCGCCGTTCATCGTAAGGGCGAGGGCTCCAGGAGAAGTATGTGAGGTGGCGTTTAAGTTCATGTGGAAGATGATATTCCTATAGCTCGCACAAGAACTCTTGGATCCAGATTCCGTTGTGATAAAGGGCCACCGCAAACTCCTCGAACCATGACTCTAGGCGAGTGGTCCGAAATAGTAGCAGTGGTGGGTCGAATCGCGGCTGCCAGGCTTGCGCTGGCTGGAACGTGGCCGTGGAGCTCGGCGGCAGTTGTGCAGCGCCAGTCGCTTTTCCGTGTGTCCGTGGTGACCAGTTTGTAGGCGACGTGACGGCGTCTGATGTAGACGTGCCGTCGTCGCAGGTGAAATGAAGAGACCAGACGTGCAGGAGGAAGTGAGGTACCGAAGTAGAGCAGCAGCCGTGGCATCCAGCCAGCTAGAAACCTACGAACATTCTAGGCTCCTCGCGCCTTGAGCTACCAGTGCTCGTCATCTTTTCCTCGAGCCGTGGGCCGCCATTAGCGCTACGATACATACGTTTCATCCTTCGGCTTGCTCGGTGCCAACAAGCTCCACAGACGAGCGTAGATCTCGGAGTTGAGAACAGAGATTAGGATCGACCGTTTTTTTTTTAATTCGAAGTCGCGTCGTTGGCTTCGAACAATGCCTCCAGCCTTTCGACATAGCTGATCCATGACTCCGAAGTTGCCTTGAACGGCAATGACGTCGCGATCAATGGTTGTGCCTGAGCAGCCTGAGCCATTGTCCAAAATCACCCTCTACGTGCTCAGTCCCCCCTTGTTTCGAGCTGCAGGTTTCTCCTGGTAGTGCTCGTTGCGTCGGCAAAATGCTTGGAGTCTATCCCATCCTAGTTGCCACTTTTGTTACGTTGTAACAAACATTTATCGACTGTTTAAAACCGCACGCATGGTGGGTATGCGGGTAGACAAAAACCACACCATTTATGAAGGTGCGCGTCCCCCCACGCTGAGGGTGTCCAGGGCAATATGTACATTCACGTTAACATTAACGCCAGTCGCCACACTTACGGACACGTAATGCACGCTTAACCACTAGCAGATGAATCTGATTATCTGTTTTGTAGTATAACTGAAGTGTATTTGCGACATCGGGGCCGTCAATCTACCAAGCCTCCATAGCGGGTATGAGCAACTGCTTTGTTTCCTTCTTGGGCATAACAAGCCGCACACTTTGTGGCTGATCCTCCGTGGTGGGTTTTGTCATTATTCTGGGAATTATCATCATTATCATTACCTGAATGGGGGCTCGCTGGCACCCGTCAGCCATCGAGGAGTAAACGGCAACTGTGCTATCTGAGCACCAAATTGTTTTCCTTGTGTTACGCATATATGACAATTGAAGTTCAAGTATGCTAGCTATCGGCTGCCGTGCACGCCTAGGTAGGCAATTATGGGCCTTGGAATGTGGTAGTGCATCCTGCCGATCTTTTTCGACTACGCTAGTAAAGCCGGTTCGAGGACGCCGTAGTTATAGCAATGGCCATTCCACTGTCCTTACAGTGCCGCTGTCTCTAGCGGCCCCCAACGATTTGATCACTAGGAACTCGGTGAGCCTAAATCTTTCTAGGTTGCCTCATGTGCGACATATTGAACGCCATCTGTTTTGGCTTCTTGTTGCTCCTAGAGCGCCAACGTGCTGCGCTCAGCTTGTCGGGCATCAGACGCGCTGTTTCTGGACCATTGCCTATGGAGGGTCTGTGAGAATATTCAAGGGAGTGGAGAACCGTCTGGATTACTATCCAGAATACTCTACTCTTGCAATGAATACGACAGCAGAATGGCGGAGGCACCCTACGGGAACGATTGCAGTATATCTAAATTCCAGCAACAGTTTTCGTCAGCTGCACTCGTCCACTCAAGGCTCCAGTTTGACACCCGTGTTGGCGCCGCCACTTACCCGTAGGAGCCGATGCCGTGATTCCGCCGAGCGTGCGGCCATGCAGGGCGGCCAGAAACTAGCCCTGCCACCATGGATGACGGCGAGGCGCCCCTACTTCATGAGCGACTGCGAAAAGGCCTTCAAGTGCTTGGGAGCGAAAATGCGCCAGACAACGTCTTGGGACCAGTTCCTCGACCTCGGATGTGGCGCTGGCGAACTGACTCGCTGCATCGTCAAAGAGTTCGGTGGTCGTCATCGTGTCGTCGTCGCCACCGAAAGGTCGCCTGATGTGGTTAAGGTGCGTATTAAACGTGCACGCGATATTTGGCGCTTTTGTTACGTGCTTCCCCTTGTATTGCTGATCTTCTGACCATATTGAAGTCATGGCTCCAAAAGAGTAGAAGCTAATATAGCCGGCAAATTTTGCAGCGAACTTTTGCGAGCGTTTCGCCCGGCTATCTGTCCTCAGAGTATAAAGCAGATTCTTTATTTTTACTGATAACTAGAGAGAATCGCTACTATACCTCTGGAGTCATACTCTCATAGAAGGCACAGACGCAGAGAAAGTCTTGCAAGTTCAGTATTCGCCCCTACTTATATTTCGCCCCGCCGTGGTCGTCTAGTGGCTAAGGTACTCGGCTGCTGACCCGCAGGTCGCGGGTTTGAATCCCGGCTGCAGTGGCTGCATTTCCGATGGAGGCGGAAATGTTGTAGGCCCGTGTGCTTAGATTCGGGTGCACGTTAAAGAAGCCCGGGTGGTCGAAATTTCATGGGCCCTCCACTACGGCGTCACTCATAATCATATGATGGTTTTGGAACGTTAAACTCCACATATGATTGAACCTACTTATATTTCGTGCATGTTACTCAAGGAAACCGAACGAGGCAACCGAGAGATGCAAAATAGGTACTGAGGGCATACGGCAACTCCAGTTAAGTTTTATCAGCAGTCACCTGTATAAAATAATATTGGCACCCACTGAATTTTCAAAGCTGCCCTACTTGTGTGCCTTTGGTTGATTGCGAAAAATAACAAAAAGTGATTATACATGGTACAGAAGCTTTGAGCTGTTCGGCTCACCGATGTATATACGAGTGATCGATATGGGTGAAGTATACTATTGCCAACTAGAAATTGAGCTTCAAAAAAGAGATTAACGCCCTCAAAAAAACTGCGGTCGTATATGAGTGACTGTTCTTTATATATCTTCGGTTTGCGTTATTTCGGTCACGTTATCTCTGTTATTTCGACACTACACACTTAGTTAACGTGGTACCGCAAAGAGGAAGCATGAATTTTTTGGCACTACCGTTCTCACTGCGCGAGCTTTGACTACCCGAAAGTCCAATGTGGTTAATTTGGTCATCCGTTTTTGTCGTTGTTGTTCACGTGCTTCAAGGTTCTTCGCCGCAATGCGGCTCAGCGAGACATCCTTTACGAGGTTGTAGATGTGGAACGTGACGTGGATGAGGCTCTGTCCAGCTGGGGCCAGTTCCGACGCGTCTTCTCTCTGTACCACCTAGAGAGCGTGCAGGACAAGCAACGTGCGCTCAACAACATCCGACGACTGCTGTGGGAAGAGGGCGGCGAGTTGTTCCTCATGTTCCGCGTCCACTCGAACCTGAAGGCACTCTACAAGATGCTTGTCGAGGAAGGGCGCTGGACCGATGTGGCCGCGGTAAGCACGCATTTATTATTCCAACAATTCTTTTAGGGCATTGCGAGGACATAGGTCAGCAATGTGATTGGAAAACTGCAAATCACCGATAAAGCACTCTTCTGTAGCGTCAGGACAGAACTTGTGCAGTGAAGCACCCTACGTAAGGGCTGTTACAAGCTGCCACTTTAGCGTCGCCGGCGCGAAGTCGGTGGCGGGAATTAAAACAGGTGAGTTCATTCCGTGCGCAAGCAGAATCAGTGAGGAGATCAGAGACGTGTGTGAACAAATGAAGCGATAGATTTATTATACTAGTACGTGGAACAGAAATACAACACTTCAAAAAACTAAGAAGCATACGATAAAAAATAAATAGGCTTACTAGCCTAAACAATAGCTAAATACGCGAACGTTCATGAAGTATTAACGAGTGATGGCATACGTGTGATGATCGGCAGCGTTGGGTCCGCGACGATTGGATGCGAGAAGCCCCGAGAATGTCGGCGGCATTGCAACGCTGGTGTTTCGGGAGCTGGAGCTTGATGGTGAACCCAGGAAGGTTGAGCTAACCTGAGTTAAAGTTGCGACGTCTACGAGACACACGTTGATTGCGTCTCAACTAGACAAACGGCCAAATTCAGGTGGCCAGCCGATACAAAGCCACATTAAAAACTTCTAGAAGAGATACTTGATGATCTTCTTTTATCCCATGTCGTACAATCAACCAGACTGCCAAGCAGGGTGATATCCTGCGCTTCAAACACCTTGTTATCCCCTAATTCTCTTCTTGGAAGAAAAGAGAACCATCGAAATGGGTCCAATCATACGTGTGACATTCTTGAACACTCTGCCTTTAAATTATAGTCCAATCACGCCCCTTTTGCATAAGCAGGGCATGTTCCTAACTGGGTGAGAGGTCAACTTGCGTGGTGATCACTTACTACTCGCCGGCGTGTTCCTTCTACCGTGGGAAAAGGCTAGGGCCTCGATTCGCAGCCAGTGCATCCGGAACCCATACTTAGGTTCGTGCAACTTGGCGGCTGCCTCTTGTCGCCACCGACACAAAAGGGTTAATCCTCAGCGCTGGACGTCTGAGACGGACACACCCGCCAGGACTTGGCGGCTTAAAAAGAAACCTTTTGATGACCAAGTGGTCTTACGGTCAGGGAAGAAGCGCGGCGCCTGTTAATTTGGCTTGACGCCGGGTCGCAAAAATGGTAGTCCGTGTCAAGGGTGATACAAGAAAATGGCAAATTAAAGTTTTATCTATTGATGAACCCAACCCCTACACTATTGATGCGAAAACTAACGTGTTATAGATTCGGTGATAACGAGGCGCTTTCGTAAAAACCAGCGTTCGTAGTACCAGCGCATGTTTGATTAAAGGTGTACTAACACAAAATTTTGACGGTGAAGTTACTGGTAAGATAAATTTTTGTAAATACACACGGATCACCTGCGAAGTATTAATGAATGATTTTGCCCAGAAAATATTTAAAATCGGCTATAGAGTGCGTGTCGCGGCACCGCAGGCAAAACACGCCTTCGGGTTTTGTGTAAACAACTCATCGTCACTGTGTCATGAGTTTGTGTTGCGAGAACTCTCTCTAAGCCGAGTCTTTCAATGGAACGATGGGACAAGTTTGCAGGATAGTACAAGGACTAATGTCCTTGCCCTGGCATGAAAATTATCAGGAGATCGCGCATATATATATCTGTGGAGAACCTAGTTGAAAAAAGTGTCATCGCGGTGCTCATGTGCATACGTTTTTTTGTGTGTGTTCACGGAGCCAGCTATGTATACAACAATACTTCAAATACTGATATACAATTATCAGTGAATCTTTAGCCGTCGTACGCTAATGCAAACGAGATTTCTAGCAATGGGTAAGTGGGTACATGGTTAGCTACTGATTGCAACAGAACAATATGCGAAATTTTTGTGTCCGTGCTCCTCCCAAGAAGTATACGAACAATAATAAGGTATTTCAGAATGATAAATGATAGGCATAAAATAAGACATTGTGATTAAATCCTCGGAGCTGAAGTTACTGCCTCAGACACGTTAATTCTGGCAGTGACTGTAGAGCGATAGCTCGAAGCCCGGTGCACCGACACGATGAAGCAATTCACCTTGCCAGCGTTCTTATTTTCCTCAGATGGTGTCGCTGCTTAACTAGTCAGTAATTGCTAAACTGGAGTCACACAACTTAGTTAGGGCAATAACAGTGTTAGAGAAGAAGAATCTCCCAATAACAATGTCGCATAGATTTCGTCAAGACAGAGCACGTTGTCACACAAGCGGATGGTGCTCGCTGTCCACCGTATGCGATCAGCGACGTAAATTGGGAATAACCAACGACAGCGGTCGTCGGTGTTCCTCATAATGTAACAACGCTATGTAGAAGAATACCGGGAAGTTGAAAACTAGCTCAGCTGCGCCGCTGCGACCTATAGCAATTGACATGTTTCATGTCCTCTAGACGGAGAACCTAATCTCGTCTACGAATGATTCTTAGCAGTTTATTTGCCGGCACAGTGCGTTTCGTACAGATTGTCATAACTTTTTCAGACTCCTTTTAACTGTCTCCTGTCAGTCTTTGGTACGTGCTACCTTTTGTTCTTGCAACAGCAGTTATATTGTAACGATGTTGAAGGACTCGGGGTATAACAAAACGTATTTATTAAAGGGCGAACCTGTGCCCACAACTCAAAGGGACTATGGTCGTAGCACGTTACAGCAGAACAGGCAAGATGTCTTCCTCTTCTACTTCTTCAAGAAGAGTCCCAAGCGCGTGGCACACATCAGCAGGGGCCAGCTGGTTTCTCGTGCTATCATCATCGTCTCTGCGCAACACTAGACGGCGCCCATGTATGTCTCTGTGCGCGTGGTGATGGGCGCGTTATTTGAATGCAGTCAGTATGTCGTGGCATAATCCCCCTCCTCACACGCATCGTCCCGATGCGTCAGGCAATGAATAGATTCGTGGTAGGCGTAGGCGTCACTGGTCTTCCGGTGATCTCTCATAGTACGGCTTCATCCGGACTACATGTACAACCTCTGTAGGGTTGCGGCAGTTTTGAGCTCCCGTGTATAGCGGATCTGACTTGGTAAGTTACATCGCTTACACGATGGAGTACTTCGTAAGGCCCGAAGTAGTGGCTAAAAAGTTTTTCAGAAAGTCCGCGGCGACGCACTGGGGTCCATATCCATACTTTGTCACCTGGTTGAAAATGCGCTTGGTACGACGCTGATTGTACCGATAGGAGTCGATACGTTGTTGGCGGCGTATTCTGTATCTCGCCATCTGTCGTGCTTCCTCGGCTCTTTGCAGGAAGTCGTCTAGGCCAGGTGGATTGCTGCTTTCATCATTCAGTGGTAACATGGCATCCAGTGGAGTG